GCCCCATACTCCTCTACCGCCCCGAGGGCCCGGAGCTTTCCCCCCCCCCCCCCCCCAAGTACTGGTGGGGGAAGCCACCTGCCAGCACTGAACTCTGCCCCCTTCATTGTCCAGAGCACCCTTAACAACCTGTACACAACTTATCTCCACTGTCCCTGGAGACCCTTGATTATGCCAGTGCAGCCTGGCCCAACCCTGGCATCCCTGCTCTGGACCCTACATCCTACTGCCCTCTCAGGAGGACCTAGTGTTCCCCAAGGAGCTCCCCCAACATTCTGCCCAGACATGGGCTGTCTCAGCCCTGCTCCCCTTCTTGGAGACCCCCACCCTTCCCACAACCCTTCTATTTGCCCTCCCCTGCCATGTTCTCTTCATAGACCCTATCAGGACCACTGGGCCATGTCTGCAGTTGTTGGCAGGAAGGGGTGGGGTCTGGCCAATTAGCACCACTTCATCCTACCTCCAGATTGCAGGGCTCTTGCTTCCACTGGGTCCAGGGTCCCCTGACCTTCCCAACTCCTCCCCTCCCCACTACCATGGATACAGCCTGCCCTTGCCTCCATGAGGCCCAGAGATCCTGGACCCCCCACCCTCCCCAGTGCACAGACACTGATTGGCCTGCCCCCAGACCCCTGTTTCCAGACCCCCCAGGCATCTCCCCATGGACTGTAGCTCAAGGGCTGGGGAGTTGTTGAAGAGCAGCAGTCTGTGTTGGATCCAACAGATGGTTCTCCTGGAAACTGATGTGCTTGAGAAGACAAGAGTCCTGCTCTGGTCTGCTGTCTGACAGCTTGAAAGGTGTAAAGAGGTGGGGTCCCTTGGGGCATCAGTCAGTTGGCTCTGACCTGTGCTCTGGTCCCGTCTCACCTGTATCCAGGCAGACAGAAGAGCCTGCAAAGCATGTTGGGATGTGTGCTCTGTCTCTCCTGACTGGGTGCTTTTAGCATAGCAGGCTGTCTGTAGAGCAGTGGTCTCCAAAGTGGGGTGTGCAAGACTATCCATTGGGGTGCGGGGAGAAAATATTAGAACTTCTATTTCTATTTCTAGAAATATACAGATATTGGGGGTGTGTGCTCAAAAATTTTTTAGTGCTAGGAGTGCGCAATCAAAAAAGTTTGAAGACCACTGCTGTAGAGCATGCAAACACCTCTTTGCACTTATGTACAAGTTATTAAGGCATTTGAAAATCAACTGGCTGAACTTCAACTGATTGGTTTAAAGGCTTATATGCACATTCCTTAGGGGCTAACTGGTTCAGAGAGGTACAGCTCTCTAACAGGTCGCTCTGCCCTGCCTTCTTCCTGAATTCGGATACGCCACTTAACTAAACTCTCTACTAATTCATGTTCAACAATGTCATACAAGCTGTAATAAATTAATATCAAACAATTTCCGTTGAAACTGTATAGAAATGCATTGCAGAAATCACAGTGTCCATTAACAGGGTAATAGTGGATTGTTATATGCTACAGTATAACCTCATAAATCTGGCATTCTCGGGACTGAAAACCTGCTAAAAAACTGAAAATTCTGGATTTTTGAAATGGGGGGGTGTGGTCAGGGAAGGAGGGAGTGAGGTTGGGGTAGGGAAAGGGCGGGGGGAGGGGCACGGCACAGCTAAGCAGCTGCAGGCAAGTGGCATTGGCCACTTGGGGCTGCAGCAGGGAGCAAAGTGGAGTGAACTGTCAGTGGGTGAAGGGCATGACTTTTGCTGCTATGTGCAGCCTAGGAGGGCTGTGGGGGCTGCACCAGGCTCTTCCTGGGGGACACGTGCCCCCGGATCTGCATGCTGGATGAAATCAGGCTGCTGCTGCAGGCTGGGGCAAGCCAGCAGCAGCATTGGGCTCTTTCTGGTGCTTGGGGCAGGTGGTGGCGACACTGGGAAGGGGGTTGCAGCCACCCCAAAATTCACCGTAGCAACCTGCCCTCCCAGCACTGCTTCCTGCCCTAGCACTGCAGCGGCAGCCTGCCCTTGCCCCAGGACCTGGGTGTGGGACATGCGCCCCTCAAGAAGAGCCCGGCACAGCCCCCAGCCTGCAGCCCTCCTAGGTTGCATGCAGCAGCAAGAGCCTTCCCTCTGCTTTGCTCCCTGCTGCAGTCCTGGGAGCAGCCAGTGCCACCTGCCTGCAGTGCTGGATTTTTGAGAATTCTGGAATTTTGAATTCTGGATTTA